TGTGGTCATGATTAAGACACGTCAACATTTTATATTACTATTCATTTTTGTCTTATTATCTTTATAAAAAAAAAATATAAAATATTAACGTGGCTTAACCGTGACCACACAAAACATGAGGGCATGGAAGGGCATGGAAAAATGGAGGGCAGACAATCTTTGTCCATGTTTAATTGCAAGGAAGTAGACCCACAATATGAATTTACAAAAATATAATAAATGGGTATTATCACAGGTTTTTGTTCATACTTTTTAACTTTTTTTCTTAAATAGTGATTATATTGAAGGAATATGAAGATTCAAAATTTGAAATTTAAATTTGAGTAAATGATGCATAAGTTAAAAAATTTACTTGTATTTTGATTTTTACTATAAAGGGTGAGATGAGAATAAAAAAGATCAATTGACCTAAACTAGTAAAAACATAGAAGACTACTCAATCCGAAAGCAATTGATTTTTTTGGACCTGAATCTAAATGCCCCTTATATTATCTACATCACAAGTTTTTAATTTTGTTATCTACCTTTCAAAATGTTTTTTTTTTTAATAAACGTATCCTATTTTTTTGGACTTGAATCAAAATGCCCCTTTTTCTTTTCAAGGATATTTTTAATAAAAAAAAAATCTTTATGAGCATAATTTCTTTTTAAAGAAGCAATCTCATACAAGTAAGATAATTGCTTTTTAGAGAAGCAATCTCATACAAGTAAGTGAACAAAGTATTTTTAAATGGATAATACTTATATTCCTCCATTCGAGGGATGAGCTCATGCCCTAACTTGCAAATAACGTATTTTCACGATAAAAATTTCATAATTAGAATCACTCAATCTTTTATTCTCCATTTGAAGATTATCTTTACAAAAAATAATGCGAGTCGGAGACCGTTTAGTTATCCAAATATATTCAAATAAAATAATAGTGTAGTTACCAAGTAACATATTCATGATAATTGTTGATTTGTTTGATACATTTAGATGACTAAACGATATTCGATTTGAATGATTATTTATAAGATCGAAACTATTGATTCTCTTTATTATCATCCAAAGATATAATATCTGTAAAAACGAAAGTTGGAAGCTTTGAACGCATGATGACTCTATCGAACCAAAACTTTAATATCATGTTAAACCGCGCCAAAAATTAAATTGTAAGGAAGGAAATCAACAATGTATATAAAAGGGTACTGCCAAATTTTTTAAACCAAATTTGCAAATCAAATGATGTGATTATAGATGATTAGATTATTAATTAATTGTCGATTAACGTGCTTCTCTTATTGGTGACACATTATTTGGTTTGTAAATTTAATTTGAAATTTTAGTGTCTCTAACATTATCCAATGCTAAATTAGATAGTAGACTGTTCGGTGCACTAGCAACATTAATTTGCTCAAAAATTTCAGCCTTCTTGTTGTTGCAAACTTGCAATAGCCATGTGGCTGTTGGTGCTTGCGGTCCCAAGTGGAATCTTGAGCCTGATGCAACGCATGCGACGCCAAGAGTAGTTGCACGCAGAAGCATATATATAATACTAAGGAGATCAAATTTGGAGATTAAATTTGCGAACTAAATGATATGTCACTAATAAGAATAAGCACGTTTATCAACGTGTAAGTAATAAATCAATCATCAACTTCCATGTCTTTTAGTTTTCAAAACTTTATCTACAAATTTAGTCTCCCTAACATTACTTATATATATGGGTATGTATGTATATATTTGCTTACGCATTGTAAGAATCGTTGCATTGACTTCAACTTAATCATGGAGTTATTGTAACATATACATACAAATATATATGTTTATATAATAAGGTTGGATATATTCTATGGTTTTAGACATTTGGCAACCATTTCAGAATCCACTGTCCAGGCGTCCAGGCATCCAGAATCCATGGCGATGAGGTGAAATCATGGAGGTCAAAATTTGAAAAGCTGAGACAAGAAATTCAAACTTTGGGAGTAAGAACAGACAAATTTTTAAAAAAGTTTTCTGATCAACCAATCAACTATATATGGATTGGCTGCTTGCTTCCTTCAGAATCACGTTATTGGATTGACAATATCAGTGTTTTGTCACCAACGACGACAAATCTCCCACTAAATCCGAAAACGCACCCTATTTCATGATCCCACAAGTCTCCATCGTCACAATGTAAAATGCAGCTTTTCTTTTTGTTCATATATGTTTATCCTCCTTCTAGGGGTAAAAACTGATTTGAGGGTTTAGTGGTCGGTTAGAGCATCTCCAATGTAGTTCTTAAAAATCATTCCATGACCACCTGGACGTCCGAAGAAGCGCCTATTAAAATCTCCAAGGACCACCCAACGGTGTGAACATGTAATGGAAGAGAGAAGACCACCATGACTCTGCTGTTTTTGGACATTGGTTACAACGAAGAAGAAAGACTTTTTCTTTCCATTTCCGACGTGACCAACTCTCATTTTTTAAAAATCATTGTCCAATCAGGTTATGCATCCCTAGCATTTTAATTAGCAAACGGATGGTATATCTCAACCAATATTTGTATACCATATGTTTGACACCTTTACTTTTACAAAAATTCTCTATAAATTCATACGACATCTGAAAAGTATTTCGTAAAGTACTATGAATTCGTAGTCGCTTGCACTTTAATCTCATACTATCAAATTCATAAAATACTAAAGCAAAATTCTGATATTTTTGTGTGTTATATGTTGAATAATGAACCTAATTAAATAAACCTCAAATTTTCAGTGCAAGTATATTTATTTGTAAGTGTAAAAAGACACTTACTTGTATAATATACAATAAGTTTACTTAAATTTGCCTAATCCATCTAGGTCTTTGCCTAAATTCAGTCTGGGCAAATAAATGCTCCAGCTCGCTTGTGGACTAGCGCCTAACATCCCTTAATTAGGACCATCTGAAGTTAGAATTCGTCTACAAGGACCATAATGCCTCCAACATGCTAAAAAAAAGTCCTCAAAGTACTCTAATATAGGATGTCGCCGGAGACCTCAAAAAATCCTTATAATTGAGGACTGGGTAAGAACTGATTAGGGTGGAGCCCTATCATTTTTGTTATGAGAAAACATACCCCACGAAGTGATGTATACACCAAAGCTGGGATGGACGCGAAAGGCATGCGCGGGAAAGCATTTTCTCGAGGACAACTTGTGACGCAGCCGTCGCAGCGTCCTCAGCGGCCCCGCAACACATGCTGTTTTTTCTTTTCTTTTTGTTTTAAAGGTGAGAACCAACAGCTATTATAGCTTCTTGTTATTTTTCTGTTTTTGATTTTTTAGATCAACGGCTGTTAATTAACAATGATTTTTTTAAACCTTTAGTCCCTAAATTTAAAGATCAACCATAAGGACTGTCCCATCAGAACCAATATTTTTTTTAGAGTAAATTGTAGCAATAGTTCCTTAATTTTAATAAAATTGGAGCAATGATCCCTCAACTAAAAATTCATTACCATTGGTCCCTCAATTTATCAAAGTGTGTAGCTATAATCAATTTCATCAATTTCGTCAAAATTTTGTCAAAATAAGTTATGTTGGAATAACCATTTATATAATTAGGGTCCCTCAACTCATCAAAATATGTAATTATGATCATTTTCGTCAACTATTAAGTGTTTGTGGATAGCAACACCATTTTCTTATATACATTAGGGTCTCCAATTAAATATTCTCTTAATAACTATTTAGTTTTCAATTTTTGTTCACTTTTTGTTTTTAAAAACTGAAACAATAGTTTGGTAACTGTTTTCAATTTTACAGAACTTTACTGTTTTTAGTGTAATTTATATCCAAGAGAAGTGAACTCATCCTGCCAAGTTAGGGATGCAAGCATTAATTGTTCGATTTAGACGATACAAGTTCATTATTTATTAAAAATGAAATATGTTCATTCTTCCATTACCATAAGGATGCAAGTATTATCCAAAAATTATTGAATTGAGGGAATATGACGAGTAATTTGTTAATACCACCAATAACTAATTTAATAAGTTTCGTGATATATAACATGTGTAATTTGCTACCACCAACCATTATCATAATTCAAGGAGATTACTTCTTTCATTTCATTTCCTTCTTCCCAACTAGCACGGTATCATTTGGACAGGTGAGTGGGCACAAGTCAAAAAGAAAAAAAGAAGAAGAAGAAACTAACTTGGTATCGTTCGTCATACAATAAGGATATTCTAAATTGTTTATTTTGTTTAACATTATTTAAAGATAGTTTCTAGAAAAATTCATTCAATTGGGATACAGTTTACCCATCTATACATGTTGAACACATCGAGAATTATATTATGAAGTAGAATCCTAATGATAAACTATCAATTTCTTTGATTTGTATAGATTACTAAATGGTCTCCAAATTGAATGATTTTTTTCTTTCTAGATTTGATTTTTATGATAATAAAGAGAATGAATAATTTTGATTATGACACTATAGATTGAAATGATGCCACGTCAATAAGGTACGATGAAAGTATTAACCTCTTCCTCTCGAGAATGAAGGAAACCTCTATCATTAATTTAGTAAGTCTCATAAAATAGTCACTAATATTATGATTTAATGATATTTCTCATCACTTATAAGTGAGAAGTTTGGTTTCAACTTTCGTGAATTGCAAGTATGGTATCACATTACTATAATGGACTAATTATGTGGCTTAGCTAGCCTAAATCATCTATACCAAACGAGACCTTAGTGTGAACTATCTTGTATATAAGAAAATGGTGTTGCTATCCACAAACACCTTTTAACCTTCTACACACACCTCAATTTCGGTTTTCAGATTGAATGAAATAAAGAAGATTAAATGACAAAAATTAACACGGTTTTCAGATCGAATGAAATAAAGAAGATTAAATGATAAAAATTAACAAAGAAGATCTGGAAGGTAAAAAGAAGTGTGGAACCTCCCTAAAAAAACATTGTAAAAGTCCAACGGCCGTCTATTTACAATATCATTGTTTTTGTAAACATTAACATCAAAAAATATAACAAAGCATTTATAGGCTTATAGCAGAACAATCTTATTATAAGAAGAGACATCTTTTATCTTTCTTTAGCTTAACGTGAAGTGAGAGTCTTGATGAAAACAAAAAAAATAGGAGGAGAGGAGGTGATGAGTCTGTCGGATGACGGTTGAAGTTGGAAATGCAGAAAGCCAGAGAGAGAGAGAGAGAGAGAGAGAGAGAGAGAGAGAGAGAGAGAGAGAGAGAGAGAGAGAGAGAGAGAGGGAAGTGGAAAGCAACCCAACTTAATATTTTCTGCAGTTGAAAGCTTTCCTCCCGAGTCTTCATCCTCGTTGTCAATGCAAATTGCAAATTACCAGTCACTTTCACCATAAAATCTCTCACATCCTTTGCTTTTATTTTTATCTCTATTTCTTTCTTTCCCTTTCCATATTTTTCACAATAATTTTCCATTATTCTTCTTATTCTTCAAGGTTTTCCACCTCCCATTTGAGATTTTTCTTTCTGAGTTTCTTGCCATTAATTCAGTTTCATGTTAAAGATTTGAAATTTATATATAGTTGCTCTCTGCTCAGCCCAAAAGCATAAAGCTTCCATTTTTTTTTTCTCAAGTTTTTTCAGGTACCCTCTCTCTCTCTCTCTCTGTCCAAGTTTCTTCAGTTTACTTGATATTTGTGAAATTTGAAATCTTGGGTATGCAAGTTTTTGTTACATGGTCATGTTTTTGGTTTGATTTCTAGACAAGAATTTCAGTGGAAAAACTTTCCCTAGAAACAAACAGAAGATACCTGTTTATACAAAATTTAATTACTAGTTTAGCTAATCAAGAGCTAATCACAGTTGGAGGCAGCTAGCTAGCAAGAATTGAGGCAACACATAGTAGAAGATATTTTGACTTGAATTTCCTCGTTTTCCTGTTTCTATTCCTTAATTTTTAATGAACTGCTGAAAAAGTGAATTTAGTTACTTGTTTAAACTTTTACACTATGCTTGGATGAAAAAATTTAAGATTACTAAGGAATTTTAAAATGACGAAATTGAAATGACAAGATTTTATTTTCTAGAATTTGTAAATTTTCTTGTTTGGTTAATCTAAAAGAACAATGGATTTGAATACTGAATTTGTTATTTTTAAACTCTATATCATAGAAATTGGGAAATGACACCTATTTACATGAAATTTGAACTTGGGAATTGGAGGTCCCAAATTCTAAGTTTTTTTTCCACGCGGAAATTCTAATTTCTATGTTTATGAATCCAAACCAGGGAATTGGTGTATGTCAATTTATAAATTCTGACTTTTATTCAAATTTCAAGTTTATTTTCCTCATCCAAATATATCTAAGTTTAAATTCCATGCAAATAGGTGTCATTTCACAATTTCTATGATTGAGAGTTTAAAATTAACAAATTTTGTTTCAATTCCATTGTTTTTTTAGGTTAACCAAACAACAAAATTCACAAATTCTAGAAAATAAAATCCCGTCATTTCAATTTCCGTCATTTTAAAATTCCTTAGTAATTTTAATTTCTTCATCCAAACATAGTGGTCATATATTTCATGGGGATTTGAATTATTATTTTTTAATCTCTGAATAAACAAATCCCTATCGTTATGAATTATTGAAAAAACACTCACATGGTGGGACACAGAAAATTTAGGACACAAACATGGACTATGGTGCAGGCTGCACCTACATCACAATCATATATTTATAGAAGATCAGATCAGGGTCCGCAATTGTCGACTTTGAACATATATATGTGTGTGTGTGTATATATATGTCTATATATATATATATATATGTTTATATGATATTTCTTCTTGGTTAAGTTCATGTCATTCTTTGTGTGTTTATATGCAACCTAAGAGAAAAATAACTGCATTCTTATTGGGGTCACTGGTTTGAAATGACTAAAACTTGTATGTTATATACTTGGGTGTTCGTCCTCGCACAATCTCTAGTTTGGTGACGTAAATTTGGTGTTATTTTCTATAGCCAAGCTCTCCCAATCTCACTCATCATGGCAAGGATGACATCGCCGAGAAGTCCTATGCCGAAGAGCCCTATGCCAAAGAGCCCTATGGTTTGCGAAAAGTACGAGACAGGATGCATGTGGCATTTATATGGCCTCTTTAACTTTCGTCAAGGTCATTCAAATAAGAAGCTGCTTTCACACAGGAGGCATTTAAAGAGAATTGGTAAGGATTTTTCAATCATATTGCACAATCACAAATGCAAGTTCTTAAGACCTTTGTTTACTCACCCGGTTGCTACATTTTTACAAATTACCGCATCCACAACTGTGAATTGAACGTTGTTTAGTTATTTCTGGTTTAAGTTGGTCATTTGCTAACTGGTGATAGACTTGTTGAGTAATGAAAAGTACTGAATAAGACATACTCCGAATTTTTTATTTTTCTGCAGTACTGAAGAGATTCATAATTTTTCTTTGTATGCAGATGATGGAAATTTAAGGACCAAGCTTGATTTGCTTAACAAAATAGATGAGAAGTGCGAAAACATGGATGTAAGTTCCACCGGTCTACTTTTACAATCAAACTTGGTGTATATTTTCACGTACCTGAATGTTGGTTCAAAAGACCGATTCTTATGATTCCAGATGTCTGCTAGTTTTTCTGTTTCGACTCTTCTGAGTTCTCTGTGTGTGTGTGTGTACATACATTGCCAATATGCTATTTGATCAATTACTGGAGTACTAGGCAAGAGAAACAAATGGAACTGATATATTAATAGGCTCTTCAAAGCATCTGGGAGAAATATTAATGGTAGACAAAATTTCGGAGTTTGAGAACATTCGTGGTTTGACAAAGTTTCCTTCATTTTTTGTTCTGTTTTCTTTAATATTCTCTCACACAGCTGACTGCTGACATAGTATACGCTAAAGCAAATTAGCTGATTTGCAACTTCAATTGTTCCAGGTCGGAACGAAGAACAAAACTCAAACAGTTGATTCGGATATGGCAAGTAAAAGAAAGCTTAAGGGGGAAGAATTGTCCACTGAGCTGCGGTTGAATAAGAACATTGCCTCTGATCAAGTGAAACATCTGCAATCTGATTCTAAATTTGTTGGTTCATTACCAAAGAATAATGGAAAGACTAGCAATAATCGTCAGAGATCTCATGATATACCTCTTCATGGTCTGAAGAATGACACTAAGCATCGAAAACCTTCTAATTCAACTTCAGCGGAAAAACCTTTAAATAAGCTCAGCTCAGCAGCATTGCCGGAAGTATTAAGCAACGAGGTGCATAGAAAAAAGCGACGAGGATGTGGCTGTAAAAGTATTGATTACGTTAAGTATGACCAGATTAACGAAAATAATCATCCGCCGGTACAGATGAATGCAGCGGATGCCATCACAAGTCAGAAAATCATTGATGGGGTGAACCACCAGTCTAAACAATTATCAGATGCATTGCAGATTTTGAATTCGAATAAAGAATTGTTGTAGAACTCCTACAAGACCCGAACTCTCTGATAGTTAAACACATTGAGGACCCCCGAGAATCTCAGACAAGAAAACATCAGAGTAAATCTGTCTGTGAAGAGAACATTTCAGAATGTAGGACAAGTAAAGCAAGGCAATCTAAAGGTCCTTCCGGCATTCACAATTTAAATTCCTCTGATTTTTACCTATCTCAGGAAAGTAGCTATTCTGATTTTGCAGAGAGAAAAGTAGTTTTAAAAGCTGGCCCACCAAGATTGCAAAATTCTTCAGACGGTATCTATTCTTGCTCCTCTATGCAATCTTATTACAGCTTTAACAATGATGGGGAAAGTGAGAGGCCTGCAAATTTTTCCCTCAGCCGTATGAAGAGGAAACTGAGATGTGCTATAGGGGTAAGCAGCAAAGAGCAGGACTTGAAAACAATCAATGCTACACTTCAAATATCTCCTTGCCAAGGCTCAGAAGACTCTAAAGGAAAAGGTGTCAAGATCATGAGAAGAAATTCACCTAGCACCATTAATTCTGCTGACAGTGAAGTACTGAGCAAGTCTTCTTTTGATATCGAGAACAGAAGCAACATAGGCAAGGTGAATGAATGTGAATCAAGCATTGGATGTGAAACTGCATCAACCAGGGGAACTGGCCTTCAAAACCCAAACATTTCACTTGTTAGCCAACCAAAGAAAAAGGAATCTGAAACTTTTGCAGAATTGTTAATGAAAGGAAACAAGGATAAGAACAACTTTGTAAGACAGACGCCAAAAACCTGCGAAGGGGTGGCATCATTTCCTGAGTATGACTTCTTGCCTACACGCAGTCTGGAGAGGGACTGGGAAAATACATTTGTTGATGAACCAACGCGATTTTCACCCTACAGCAATTACCAACTGGTATATGAGAACAAGTCTGGGCTTCAGAAAGAAAAGAAAACCTGCTACTCGACTCCACTGAGGCAGGACGTAGAGGCCATGCCTGAGAATAAGAAACTTGATGATCAATTGCAAGTTCTTGATATACTGCGAAATATTGACATCAAAGGGCTGGGAGATAAATCAAGGCCTAAAGGTATGGAGTTACTAATTACATATTTTTCATTATTTGATATGTACTTATGTTCTATTTTCTTAGCTAATAATCAATCTTCTGCAGGCTGTGTCCAAATTTTGGAGAGTAATTCCACCATGCACCGAGGAGAAACAAATTCCTTAGAATTTCCCTCTGAATCGGACAGCACAAACAAAGTAACTACAATAGAAGTCAAGGATACTATCCACTCAGGGGAAACTAGTTGTTTGGAAGTTCTATCCAAACCAGAGAGCACGGAGAAGACCAATACCATAGAGACTAGTAATGCTACATACCAAGGAGAAACTAATCCTTTTGAGGATCAGCCATTAACATCTTCACCAGATGTTTTCTCATCAACTCCAAGTATTCAGAGGGTGGAAGATTCTGATAACATCAAAGATAAACGAGAGCAGCCAAGTCCAGTTTCTGTGCTTGAGCAGTATTTTGTAGATGCCACCAGTCCTGCAAGCACCATATTTGAACCTGGTAAGCCTTCATCAAGACCTACCATTTTTCCTTTCTTTTCTTTTTCCCCTATCCACTTCATGTGAGTCTGACTGAGGTAAACCATGCATCCATTTCTGCAGCTGAAGAGCACCATTCTCATCCTCTTACGAGGTCCCATTTGGACCCTGAAACTTCTTCTTTGAGGGAACACCAAGTTATCTCCGAGTACATTAAGGCAGTGTTGCAAGCTTCCACCTCAAATTGGGATGAGCTCTCACTGATGCCCCATTCATCAGATCAACTGCTTGATCCATTCTTGTTTGATGCAGTAAAGTTACAGGCTAACCAATTCAATAGTGATTGTATGCTGTTCCTTGACTGTATAAATGAAGTCCTTGTCGAGGTATATCATACTCATCTTCCATGCTCCCCTTGGGTGTCATTTATCAAGCCAATTGCCTCAAGACAATTTTCCGAGAATACTGTGATTCATGAGGTGATGAAGTCTGTTGATCGGTACCTCTTACCACATTCATCGCCACAGAAGTTGCAACAAATTGTTGAAAAGGACATAGCATGCTCTGGGGCATGGCTAGATCTCCGGAATGATTCTGAGGAGGTCATTTTTAAGATGGTTGAAGGTGTTTTAGAAGAATTGATCATGGAAACCATATTTTAACAACCCTTCAGAAAATTTATATTGCCACTGTATATTAGCTTTGGTCTGAGTTGGACCAAGGTAATTTGGCAAACTCAGGCAGGTTGGAAGAACTGGTTTCAAGCCACTTGAGTATTGTCTTATGACTCCTTGAACAAGCATGCAAAAACAAGGTTGCTACGTGTGGAGCTGGATCAAGGAATCATCTTTTCTAACCTGCATAAGATTGGTATGAGGTACCCTTGGATCAAATTTTGAGTATACTCTGTATAGTTTATATCAAACCTCTTGTAGCTACTAGCTATTTGTGTCATTTTATTCTGTAAGGGGAGGTCAATATCAAGCTAGATAACAAGCCTTATGCTTTGTCTGTGGTCTAGTGTCGATGGAATAAGCCAAAAATGTATTTCAATCTAGCTAACGAAACAAAGTAAAGAAAGGAATACTATAAAAGGTTGAGTTGTCCATGTATTCATTGCTTCCGTTCAATTGTGTCGTTCAATTTTCTTAGATTGACACTCTTTAGGATACTTATTAATGCATCAGAAACTTAAACCTGTTATTCATGAACACCTGCTAGTCTGGGTATAAGTACAAACTGTACGATTCTGTGGACGAGAGCTTAATTACTGAATGCTAGAGTTTTCTAAATTAGAAACCTTTTTGGGTAAATGAATAAGAACCCTATTCTTCTTTTGGTAAGCAAACTCGGAACCCATCTATGTTTCCATGTATGAGAGGTATTTATTGCTGACAATGGTACAAATAGTTTCTGTACATTTAACTTGGGCTAAAATGTATATTCATGTTGAATAGGAAAATTAGGTAAGTTGAACACTAATTGTTAGGGCTCTGTTATATAATTGCCTGCTTTCATATTACACCAAAACTCAGAAGTACATACGCTAGCTGGTTCTATGAGAATGGCTGCCAAGAAACTCCAACAAACTGATGGTTATGTTTCTGGCAACACTTTGCTACCCTTTTTGTTGCAGGTCCCTTCCAAGACTGGGGAAGATTATCAAAAGAAGAATACCTGAAGCTACAGCTTAAACTTATCAGTAAACCTGAAATCAAGATGTTTTCGGGTAATGAAACTGTTTTAATTAGATGCTGACACACTAATTTATATATATGTTGAATTCACTGGTTTGTAATAATATCTTTGTTTTATCTTTTGTCCGCCAACATACTGAACATGGTGATATTGTAGATTGCATTGATATCTACAAACGACGTGCTTTCAATCATCCTATGCTCAACAATCATACAATTCAGGTCTATGATCAACTCTTTATGTGTTTGCTTCAGTGTCATGCTCGTGAACTATTGGCACTCATTTACTGGTGTGGACTTCACACGCCAGTTACTGGTTCATAATCGTCCACAAGTTCATCGATGACTAATGCTAAACTCCTTATACAATTTGGTGTTTTGATGTGTCATTCCATTAATTTTATCTTCTGGCTGAAAAAGCAAGTCTTTGGAATCGAACTACGGTAGCTACCCAACAAGCACTCACAAGCGCGGCTCAAATACGTTAACCAACGGGGCCATCGTGTAAGTAAACACATGTCATGAAAAACCATTTAGCCTTCTGATTGTTAAGCATCCAAATAAACTAATAGCTTTTTGATATTGTATTTTCATATTATTTATTTATTTTTTCCATTGATTTCACTGAAACACTGTTGCCAAGTGCTATTCCTTATGCTTCTGTCATATGAAGCCTCATGTATGCTAATGCCATGATATGCACAAAGCCTGATATCACTTGTGTTATGAGCATTACTTGTTGATATCAGTCTAACCCAAGATGAGAATATTGAGCAACTGTCAAGACGTCTTTAAGTACTCAAGAGCTAAGGACATGTTCCTCGTTTATGGAAGAGCTACAAAGTTGCGATTGGAAGCCTATACATATGCAGATTTCCAATCTGATGTTGACGGTGGAAATTCTGACTTCGGATATATATTCACTCTAAATAGTGGGGCTGTCAGCTGGAAGAGCAAAAAGTAAGATGTATTAGCTGATTCCACGACAGAGACAGAATATGTCACTGCGTCGGAAAAGAAGCGTTCTAGATGAAGAAGCTCATTACTAAACTTGGAGTGGTTCCAACCATTACATCACTAGTAACTTTGTATTGTGATAATAGTAAGGCGATAGCTTAACCCAGGGAACCCAGGGCTCATCAAAAGAATAAGCATTTTGGTTAGAAAATATGTTACAGAGCATAAATTCAACATCCTCAAGGTTGCCTTAGTCAATAATATAGCAGATCCATTGACTAAGCCAATGCTTCAAGTCCAGCTTGACCGCCATATGGCAAGGATGGGTATTAGATACATGTGAAGGTGGCTTTGATTGCAAGTGGGAGATTGTTGAAAGTATGCCCATAAAGCCACTCATTTGATGTAATTGTTTTTGGAATAGTCATTATGTTAAATTCTTATTTGGTTAGTGGAAGGGCAAAGCTCATTGTTAATTACTATTTATTGTGTCATGTGTTTATGCAATACGGGAATCCAAGGAATGTATTTGATCTAAGAGAGAAGTGATCTAAGTAAGTTAGATTAATGAGACATTTCTCTTCTGTTTATTCCTAAAACATTCATAGCCATAAGATTGTCAATTGGGCATTAACAATCTGTTAAGTTTAGTATGTGTTAATTGACTCAAGCGAGAGTATGACTAGTCTCGAGTCATTTAGTGCTGGACACTAAAACAAACACATAGGTGTTCGAAAGGGTAATCAAGCACACAACGATCATAAGTGAGTTCTAACATACATGTCACGTAAGAACTCGTAAGTTGCAATATGCAAACTAGACCTTTGGCCTGAGGCATCATAGTTGTCTAACAGTTAGGTCCTTAATCTTTGGATATGTCAAAGACATTCCATTTAGAGTGTCCATAACATTGTTGGGGTCAAACCATCTAGTCATATAGGCATGTGAATGCACAACAAGAGATCTCTAAACTTCCATGGTGGGAGGAGAATACTCTAAGATGTGGTTCGGGAGTCTTTGCCCAAAGCACATGAATATGACATGTTCCAAATCATATTCAATTGAATCATATGAAGAAGTATCACAATGGTTAGTAAATGTGAAACAATCTATTAGTTAAACGTTAAACAATGTGATTAATTGTACTGTATTAGAGAAGGACCGTATTGCATTGTACTTGTAACTAGATAGGTTTTCTAACCACTTAACAAATCCACAGGGAAATAAATTGGATCCAAGAACAATGAGCTGCAAATTCATTGGATATTTAGAGAAGTCCATGGGCTACAAATTCTACTGTCCTAACTCTTATACCAAAATACAGGAAACTCATAATGCTAAATTTGTTGAAAATACTGAACCAGTGCACTCCTCCACTAATGCCCTCATGTGAGGGTTCTAGATACTTTACCTTTAAGAGCCATGTTGAACAAGGTAATGTTACGAATCACATAAGAGGGAAGTTGCTTAATAGGCAGGTAATCAGCCTTTTACGTGATTAGGTGTATGAATCCAATTACTATGATGGGCGGTAGTGGAGGAAACCGTAATAGCTATAAATAAGGATGTCCCTGCTATCCCTAGAACAATATATTTGGGTGATTGCAATATACTAGATTTATTGAAAATCTTATCTTCATCATGAAAATAACGAGTTAATGAATAGATTTGGGTAAATTACAATAAACCAACTCAACTATGGTTCTCCTAACAAGCTCAAACCTTATCTTTTAAATATTACAATGTCATACCTCAACTATGAATTCGTTGCAATACAAGAACTCCGTCAATTTATTGTCAGCATTTGTGGCAAATGCAAGGCCCATTACTCATCCTGCTGAACTCCATGCTGGCATCATTAAACACATGGATTCTCCCATTAATTGACATGTGGAATGAAGAACAAATTTAAAAAAAATTAAAATTTTTGAAAAACTAAGAAAAACCAAATGAACTGTATGCGCCCCCAAACCAATACACCACCAGCTTAGAACCCTAATTCCCAATTTCCAAAAGAAAGGCTTCCGCTCAACCATCTTTATCTGTAAATTAGATCTGACGAACCACCGCTTTGCGCCGTAGCGAGTGAGGGAAGGTAAGATTTGACCAAACCCGCATTCATCCCCATCCTCCTTTTAACGAACTTATCCACTAAGTTCATTTCCCTATTTCCAATTCGCTTCTTCCTTTCTCTCTCTCTTTAGAGACCGTACAAGGCTGAAAGCCAATGGACAACAACATCAACATGCCACTGAATGGACCATTAGTTAAACCAGGTAATCTTAATTTCAAGTTACAAGAAAGATAAAGCAAGTCTAATCCTAGTTACAAGTTTCTAGGTGAACATAAACCCTGAAACTAGGGAAATGATGCACAATGCCGGCTGCAACTCAACATGTGAGTAGTTGGAGTTGCAGATGCAACTTGTACCCTATTCACTAAGTGACATCTTTCAACACTTCCCCTCAAACTGGATCAAGGGGACTGATTGATCCAAGCTTGCACAACAACCTTTGAAATTGAGTAGAATCTAGGGTTTTTGTGAAAATATCTGCAAGTTGGTCATGGCTTCGAGTGAAAATAGTTTTGATCAATTTGGCTTGAACTTGGGCACGGATATAGTGGCAATCCACTTCAATGTGTTTAGTTTTCATGAACACAGGATTCGACGTGATGTGCATGGCAACTTGGTTGTCACAGTGTAAGTACATTGGTTAAGTGCTTGAGAAACCAAGGTTTGAAAGAAGAATTCTTAACAAAATAAGCTCACAAGCAGTGGATGCCATCGTACGATACTCAGCTTCGGCACTTGACCTAGCTATCACAACTTGTTTCTTGCTCTTTCATGTAACAAGATTACCTCAAACAAAGGTGCAAAAACCTGTGGTAGATTTGCGATCAAGGGCATTACTTGCCCAGTTAGCATCAGTTATAGCCCATAATGTGACTTGTACCATTTTTCTTCATGAGAATGCCCTTTCCCACCGAGCCTTTGAGGTACCTGAGTAGTCTTTTGACAATTTCCCAGTGAAGTGATGTAGAAGAGTGCATGAACTGACTAATGAGACTCACTACATAGGCAATGTCTGGCCTTGTAATAGTGAGGTAAATGAGTTTCCCAACTAATCTTTGATAGGTACTAAGGTTAGATAAAGGTTCCCCTTCAACATCCAACTTGAGCTTGCTGACTAGAGGAGTACGAGCAGGTTTAAAGTCCATCATCTTTGCCTCATCAATGAGATCCAACACATATTTCCTTTTATTTAAGAATAAGCCCTTAATAGAAGTAGCTATCCCAATCCCAAGAAAGTATTTGAGAACTCCCAAGTTTTTGATTGCTTGAGGGCATTAAGTTTATCAACATTATCTCCTGTAATGATCAAATCATCAACATATATAAGTACCATAAGCTTACTAGTTGAACCAATTCGAACAAATAAGGGAGAATCAACATGGCTTCTTTTGAATCCTGCAGCTTCAATAACTGAGCTCAGTTTGGAGTACCATGCATAATGAGATTATTTGAGTCTGTATATGGCCTTGTGAAGTTTGCAGACCATGTTGGGTTTATTCTCTTGGGGATGTCCTGGTGGTAGTCTCATGTATACCTCTTCTTCAAGATCACCATGAAAAAAAAGCATTCTTCACATCCATTTGAAACAAGGGCTATTCATGATTGATAGCCACAGATAGTAGAACTCTCACAGTGTTTATCTTGGCAACTAAAGTAAATGTCTCCGTGTAATCAATGCCATATGTTTGAGTGAATCCTCTAGTTACTAGTCTGGCCTTATGCCTTTCAATTGCACCATCAGAGTGAAATTTAGTCTTGTAAATCCACCAACTTCCCATAGCTTTCTTCCCTTAGGGAAGCTTGACAACACTCCAGATGTGATTATCATTTAAGGCGTTGAGTTCTTTGTTCATTGCTCCCTGCCATAATGGATTGCCACTAGCTTATTGAAAGCTTTTTGGTTTAGTTTCATTTGACAATTGACTAAGGAAAAATGTACGAGAGGGAGACAAATTTTTATAAGTAATAGCTTGAGAAATGGGATGCCTTGCAGTATAAGTAACATACTCTTGAAACCTTGCAGTGGTTGTTTATCCCTGGTAGGGTTTCTTCTTGGAGCAATCACAAGTTCTTGGATTTGATCTTGAGCTTGGGGAAGATTAGTGACATTTTCACTGATCACATGGTCATCAGTGTGGTCAATGGGGGCAATTGAGAGCTACACTCATGTACTTCAGCCGAAGTAGGTAGTGGAAAAGATTCAAAGAAACTCTCCCCCTGAGAGATAGCCTTAGAACTCTTGGAAAAATAAAGAGTGAATTCATCAAACCTCATATCCTTGGAAACTATCATTTTTTGAGTACTTGGATTATATCACTTGTAACCCTTTCGAGAACTAGAATAACCCATGAATACACACTTGGTAGCTCTTGGTTCCAATTTGTCATGATGAGTAGCTTGAATGTGGACAAAGCAAGTAATTCTAAAGGTTCTGAGATGAGATACATCCATGGTTCTTCCTTTCAAGATCTCATAAGGGGATTTAGAACTCAATACTCGGCTAGGCAACTTGTTAATGGTGTAGGTGGCAGCAAGAATGCCTTGAGACCAAAACATTTTGGGAACATTCATTTGAAACATCAAGGGCCTGGTTTTTTCCAACAAGTCCCTATTTTTTCTCTCGGCTACACCATGTTGTTGTGGTGTACCCACACAACTTGTTTGATGCATAATGCCATGTGTGCTCAAATAATTTGACATGATATTGGATGTATACTTAGTGCCAGTGTCTGACTTCAGTTTATGCATATTGGAGGAAAAATGGTTTGTAACAAGATTATGAAAGTCTTTAAAGGCATTAAACACTTCACTTTTAAACTTTAAAAGATACAACCAAGTAGTTCTAGAGTAATCAGTGTTGATGCACAAAATCAGTGAGGACTTTGGTACAACAGAAAGTGTTAAGTTTGTGACCTTCGCTAGATTGCTCCGGTCACTAGTGTGGTTAAGTATGCAAATGGATAGAGACAGAAAGCAAACACAAGATGTACGTGGTTCACCGAGATTGGCTACGTCCATGGAGTAGAGGAGTCCTCATTAATTGTGAAGGGTTTACACAAGTACATAGGTTCAAGCTCTCCTTTAATGAGTACTAGTGAATGATTTAGTACAAATGACATTAGGAAATATTGTGAGAGAATGATCTCTATTTATAGAAGAGAGTTTCTAGTTTCATTCTGACATTGACACGTGTCGTGTTGTGATTGGCTTCTGATGTTGACACGTGTCGCGCTATGATTGGCTTCTGATGTCGACACGTGTCACGCTGTGATTGGCCTCTTGGTTGGAGGGAAACTCTTCTGGGTTCTTGACGGTATAACGTTGACCGATGCTCAATAGTTTCGGGATTGGTCAAGTATGGTACAAACAGTACTCCCCTAAGTTCCTGAGTGAGGGAAGCTCCTCGGT